ACATGCCAATTTCTGTCTCTTGGAGGGATTTCCAAGACACTTGGCAGAAAGCCATGACCCTGCTCTTCCCTTGCACTGGGCAGCAAAACTGGCAGGTGCAGAGATGACAGCTTTCTGAGCCAACCCCTCTAACTCCATGTAACAGAAGTCCAGGAGACAGCGTGTACTACAGCTCCACTCCTGCTGATGAAGCCAAGGACCAGCACTGTAAAGAGGAACTAATTATCTTGGACTCACCTCAGAGTTTGTGCTGGGCATGCATGAAAGTTACACACCATAGAGCAATCTCCCATCCAGAAGGCTATCCATGAGATAGCCTTCCAAAATGGAAAAAGACTACAGCTATATGGGCTGCATTGAAATCCATAACGTGACTTCCCACGTAACAGCACTACGGCAACAGTGGGTTTTAGTATCGGGGAAACACCTTCTTGGAAACTGCTAAGGTTTCTTCTATTTTATCCCTTATGAATGATGAAGATATTTAATTAATTTTAAAATTAGCACTGATTAATGTCCCAATTAACAATACTGAAATACCTCACAATACTGTTCTATATATGTTTCCTAAGTAATACTGGAACATGCTAGGAGGAAGTGAGATAATATGATCGTCTCTACAACATGCCGAATAAGCAGCTTTGAGTTTACTTAGAAAATGCAGATAAGTAAGCTTAATAGAAGAAGCACTGCTTAACAGAAGTAAGAACTGCTTAACAGAAAACCTGTTTGAGTTCACACTTACCAAAAGACAATCTAAAATTACGAGAGAATATTTTTAATGTGTTAAGACGAACTTGCCTTTTCTCTAACTCTACAGATAAAGACAACACTATAACCACATCCAAACACTTACATAAAAAGACTTTTGGATTCTTGGTCCTGCAAACTCTTTCAAAATGGGAAATAATTTTTCTAGCTTAATGATAAATTATTTTTCTCAGCTTAAACCTGAAACTAAACATCAGTCATCAGGTGTGCTAAATAAAAGATCATCCAGCAGACTTGTATGTGGTTTCTGTAGAAAAAAAGAGTCACTCTGCAAGACTGATTCATACCCAGTATGTATTTGCACATTTCAAACATTCATACATTTTTCAGATTAAAACACAGTAGCGATATCACAAACATCTGAATTCCTCTAAAATAATTTAGAAATGCCAGTGTTGAGCAATAGATGTGCTCTCGTGTGCAAAGAAGTAAAAACACATACTCGAACCCAAGATTCTCCAGGTCCTGAACTGTTATCTCCAAGAGAGTAAACCTCTAGAGTACATCTCCACAGGACACATTTATCTAAAGTGGCTGCACACATATAATGATGGCTTTTGTTTAGTGATCATGGTCATTTTGAGTTTGTTTGAATACTGCAGCCGAATGCTTATAAACTAATCCCAGAACATTTTGAAATGCTTCAAAGCTTTTAGCAGGGGAACCTCTTGCATAGGCTTTGTAGATGAAGCTGACCACAGTTCACTGGAACCAGCCAGCTCAGATAAGTAAGATGAAAGCAGACATTTCCTGAAAATATCTTGAAAGCTTTCCATTAGTCTGTGCCAGGGGTATACACTAAAAACAGAAAGTGCCCATGCTTGTATAGCAACCAATCCTCCCACTGCTTTCTCCATTCTTTCTTGAACTATTGTATTTGTATCTGTTTATCTGCTTCATTTGATATCTTGCAAAGTTCTTTGGGGGAAAAAGATGCAACTTGTGTATTCTAGTTTACAGTACATTATAAACAGCTATTACAAGAACGAAACATTCTGTCTAACATACTAAATATTGCAACAGGAAGAAACAGAAATCTACCAATGCCAAAATTATTACAAATTACAAATAAATCAGAAATTTGCTCCACAGATAATTTGTAGGAGTCACCCACTCCACAGCAGGCATGAGTGCAATTGTTTGGCCATAATTCTCTGGCTGTCAAAGTGTACTCTAAGACGGTCGATGCGGCACTGCTGAATGTGCTGGTCATAGAGTGCCTCAGGGTAGATTTTCAATAAAGGCTGACACTGGCTGTTCATATTTTATACAATTTGATTGAATAAATCCAGCTGTTCTCTAGGAACACAAAATACTCCACTGTTGCGATCTCCAACATTTTCTACTTTGAGATATGTCCAGTTTCAGGCACTTTATTTCAGAGCAATGAATTAGAAGCCCAGATTTCTTTAACAGTTACTAGACTCAAGGGCACAGAAGTACTTTTAATAGTTTCTCAGGGACCAGCACACTATAAAGTGAGCCTAGTGTCTAATTCAAGCACCAAAATTAGGTGTTATGACTATCCATCACATTGTATCCTACACAGAGTTAATGTGCACACTTGAATGAAGAGAGGGCAGCAGTATCATACCATGACACAAAGTATGAAGCACTGATGACACTTGAATTCAATACAGCAGCAATGATGACAGTTATTCTGTCCAGTAGTTTATCTCAACAAGGGTTGGGGTGCTCTGAAAGTGCACCGTGAAGTTAAGTACACCAAGCCCTCCGCACACACTAGCCATATATGAGAAGGAAGTGGTGAGCCACAATAATGATGCACAAAATGGAGTGCAAGCAGAGTCCAACAGTTGCTACTTGAAACAAAACAACCCTGCCCTGTTCCACACAAAACAAAAAAACCTTCAAGTTTTAGTAGATCTTTCTGAGGGATACGTTGAAACCCATGTTCACTCTGCCTTCTGTAATCTCTGTTCCCTGTGCCCTGGGGTACCTGTAATGAAGTCTTTCATCCACCTGGAAAGAGGAATTATTATCCTCTTCCAGAATACTGCTTATTCTACTTCATGGTTTAGTGTTGGGAGTAAAATGCTCATCCTATGTCTGAAACCAGGTCAAGACCTGTGAATAAACACCGTGAAAATGTGACTGCAGCTAGTGAAGACTCACTCTGACACAGGCCCCATGCAACTCTACGATCTAAATGACATTACGTGTGCTACAATGTGCAGAATCTCTCAGTACAGCTATGAGAGAAGACTTAATTGGTCTAATTTTTTTTATGAGAAATACTAGTAATATATGACAGACTCCTTGGTAGACTGCAGGGGGTGAGAAAGGGCCACAACATAAGGACCCTTGGTGAGGGGTTGCCCAGGTCCTCAGTAGCATCTCCCTGCACACTGCTGGCAGCCACCAAGTATTCAAGTTTGACTAGAATTCCAAAATGATTAAATGTTCTGTCTAAATCTTTCTGGAAATGATGCAACACACATCATCATCTACAGGAATCTTTAACACTCATTCTAACTCATCTACATTCTTCCATATCCTCTCCTAAGAGGCAGCTGAGAGCAGCTATTCAAAATCCCAAGATCATGAGCTTGAAAGAAGCAGAAGTCAACACAGGTTTTATGAATGATTTCACTAAAACAATATTAGAACTAATATCTACTCTGTTTTATTCTCAAATATAATTCACTGGTGGACCCTGAGAAAGCAAAAGTAAAAACAGACTTGGTTCTCTGCTTATATTGATTGCTACCAAGACTGCCTGCAGTCTAATATTTTAAAGCAGCTATAAACCAATCATTAGTTATGCAAACATTTAGAGCTCATCATATGCAGAGAGACCAGCAACATGTTTTAACTTCTGCTCAAAAAGAGTCACCATTTCCTTAACTGTACAGAAACTACTTGAAAAATTCATAAGATCTGTTTCACGAATTACCAATTCAACCATAAGAATATATAGTAAAAATGACAAAAGATTTGTTCTTATAGTTGATAAAAAATTCATGCCAAGGCATTCAAGTAAAGTTACTTTCTGTGTTCTGATTTAATGAATCATTTGAGCGGTATCTGGCTGGGTGACACAGATGTAAGGCTCGCTGAAGCCTACTCTAATGCCTGCTGGTACAGCCTTCCTTGGGACAGGAAAGCCAGAACAATGTGTCAGACTGAAGTAATATCAAGGAAAGTAAGTGCAGTGCTGGGGATGCTGAGGCTGGCCCACAGTACTTCTTGACCTGTGAATGTCTGTAAGTACTTCTCTGTCTTACAGGCTCCAGTGACCCAGGAAGCCCAAAAGAAGCAGCAGCAGTGCGGTAATAAACAGCCCCTGGAATAAAGATTTTTGCAATCTTGTAATTCAAGCTGAAAGACATACAAAGATTGCTTGATGGTTTAACCCTCTGAAAGGCAGGGCCTGACACTGTGTGAAACCACCAGTGATTTCCTAAAAGGGGACCTAATGTTAAATGTTTAATACAGATTTGTGAGAGAACTATGTGTTTAACACACTGCAGAGTTTGTCTTTAGCTTCAGAAATGTACCTGAATTTGCAAAACACAAATTAAGGAACTCACTTGATGTATATGACTACAGCATTTATATGCTTCTGTCTACTCAAAGACACTATAATCAAATCACGCTTCCCATTAGGAAAATCCTTGGAAAGAATTTAATTCTACAGTAAGTAGAACAAAGCTAAGGAGGACTGCAGGCACTGTAGCATCATAATCTTAAGCAATAAAGCTAATCTTCATAAAAATAAAATGTATTTTATTCCCAATATTCCTTGGGAATGCCTAAAAAAGCTTTCCCCTCTCAAAAGAAGTTTTCTAGAACATTTAAACAAACATATTTATCAGCACATCATATCTTTATAGAAATAATTTGACTTTCATCATAAAAGTGAAACCTTTTAAGAAATTAGAAGCAAAATGAGAAATGAAAAGCTTAACACTAATGTTAAATCCAAATAAATACAATACCCGTGTCATTTTGTCTTAATGTCAGAGAGGGGAGGAACATGTCAGCAGCAAATGGAATTACACTCCTCCTTACCTCACCAGCCCTCTTTAAAACCCCCTAACTTTTTTTTAACATAACATTAAGTTTGTCTGTTGCTAACATTTGTTGCAAATGTGACAATCCTGTTTTGTCAAGAGAATTTAGTTTGTTTGCATGCAAAAAATATTTCTGTTTCAACAGGTTAGTTAAGACAGTTGTGTGTAATATTTGACATAAAAGGTACTTACACAGATAACAAAACGATAGTGATGAGAGTCCATTCAGGCATTTTGTGAATAATATTTCTGTTGGTTAACCTTAAAAAAATTTAAAAAATAATCAGAACATTTCAGGTAAAAGTAAAAAGATTTTAAGAGTTGAATTCTGATTTAAGTCTAGCATTAATACACTGAGTTATACTGAAGCAACTACAGCTGTATCTGAGCAATTCACCAACTTTCAGGCTTCTCTCATCCTCTAATGGAGGAATTGCAGACTTCCCAATATGATTTTCTGTATGAATGTGGGACAGGGAAGGCTGAACAGAAGGTAATTCTTTGAATTTGCTAACAAATGGCCCTGGCTGCTGTGAGGGCTCAGCTCTCACTCATACCCACTGGGAAATTCTCAGACCTGCACAGGTGTTTCTGAAAAGACAAGACCTTCCAAAACTTTTCCTCCTGTTTGCTTCAGACCCAGATTTGCTGTAAAAGCTAATGTGGAAACAGAGGTTTTTTTTCCAAGATACTGGTGACAATCCTCTGATGATTCTTGTCTGGAAAGCCAGAATGCTAACTCATGCAATGGGAGCCAGAGCAAATATAAGAGCCATGAAAATATAAATGAGGTGTGACTCAAGCACCACATGGGTGGCCAACAAAAGCTCTCAATGCCACCTGATCTGTTTGCCTGAACTGCCTAATGAAACAGATCTGCTTTACCTCAAGTGCTAATCTGTCTTAAAACAATTCATGTGTGAATTGCTACTGCTGAATTTAGGTGTCATCCAAGGTGTAAAGACAAGCAATTCTGTGGAAAAGTCACAGTAAAAAATGAAGCTGTGGCTACACAGGCACCCAAAAAAGGGAGCAGAATTAGTTTTATTCAGAGAGATGACACCACCCAACAGAAACAGAGGAGCAAGTGCCTCCCCTGTGTTTGCTTCTTTCTTGCTCTCAGTTTCCCTTCTAGGAAGCCTTGTACAAATTCAGAATGAACATATCCTGTCATTCATACCCACTCCTACAGAAGCTTCCTTAAAATGAAGGCAACAAATTCAAATCTACGGTTTTCCTCCCCAGCAAGATGACTTTTTAAATTTTCCTTTAATTATTTTTGGCAAGTATACAGTTACCCAAAAAAAGTGTTAAAAAGTGATAATAGAGAAGTAATTGTACTTGCCATTGTTACAATTCAAATTCTGTTACATAATTCCCCAAAATTATATTCAAAATGGGCATTAAAAGCACAGTTCTGAATAAGATCATTTATATCATGTTTGCATTTCTCTATTTCAGAAAGATATTAAAAATTAATAAAATAAATCTGTAATGATCATGGCAATATTATCCTATTTTTCTCCTCAAATCTCCAAGTCTTCAAACCAAAATAAGATTTTGAAGCAATGATTACCCAGGTACTGTCTCAACAGCCTGAGTTTTGTTAAATTATGAAAGGAAAACCAGTGTTTTGCACTACATATACAGGAATTGTCACAACAGACTAGAACTAAGAGTTCTGGCAAATACAGATTATTTTTGTTATTAAAAGGTTCATGTTTAGCAATTACTATTTGAAACAGCTAATGGATTTAGCTGAGAAAAAAGTCTGTACCTGGTAAACGGTTACATTTTTCTGGCTATAGAACAAGAGACAAAACAAAGGCTGAACATCTTGACTCAATACTGATGACAGTGATAAACACTACCAAGAAATGCCTGATGGAATCATCTTGACAGGCAATTCATATGTAACATTCCAGTTAATCTGCTATGACGAGACACAGTGAAAGAGACAGCTCGCTCCAAGCCACCTGGGAAAACTCTGTCAAATAGAGAAAGGAGCTTTATTTCAATGCTCTACAAGCAGTTGTTATTGATTAGAGCACGGGAAGGTGTCATTCTTGCACACAAACTGAGAGCTGCAGTTATTTGTGTCAATTAACTCTTCTTCAATGTTAGTATTGATTGGCAAGGTCTGAACACTAGTCATTGCCATCAATATGCTATTTATGAAGGAGGTAGTCAAAAGACACAGATAACCAGCAGGATACAGGAATATGGATCTGCTGACGTAAGACTGTCACTGGACTGGTTGAACAGTCAGGCTTCCACAAAGAGTAACCTTTCAGTACAACACCTGTCCTAAAACACTTGTACAGATGGAAAAAACCAACATGTCAGACAGATCAGAGTAAAACTAGCAACCTACAGGTGTGAAGCCTTAAATAATAAGGAGCAGTGGAAGGGCAGTCACTTTCAAAAACAAGCTGTGTGTCAACACCAAGGCCTCTGAAGAGCAAAGCTTTCAGAAAACAGGGAACTGCAGGGGCCTCTGCAAAAATGGTTCATTAATTCTTTGTCTTGCCTCTAGCCAAAACTGTTACTTCAGAGCAATCTATGAAAGAGAGGTCACTAGATTTCTGTCACAAACATGTAACGTGGAAATGTTAACACTGTACAAAACTTTGTGTATGTGATTTGAGTTTTGCAGTGAAATACTTTGTTAAAGAGTTTGGCTAAATTCTTCCTCTCCTACCTAAAGAAAGAAAACAATACACAACTTTCCAAAACAGAATGTGTCTACTTTCTTAGCCTCTGTACGGCAGGATAGGTAAGCCAGGAGAGCTGGATGATCCCAAATAGCTGTGTGGGTCACTTAGTTGCTAGTTTGTGGGTCTTGTGGTTCACTCCAAGACACACAGCAGCTGGACTTGATTGCTTCCACCATCCAGCAGGTCCCACACAGCAGTTTTCATACTCTGTGAAGGAGCTCAGACTGAGCAGGTGAATCCAAGTGGCAGAAGGTTACAGGATAACAGGCTAAAGACTAAGATGTGTAAAAACTCCATCCTGAATGACTGCCCAGTAACTGACTGGTGCCCATCCTGCAAAGGAAGGGAACTCACCAGAGAAGTTGTAGGAATACAGGGGAATCCAAGGTTAAAGTTACCAGTAAGCACAAATAGTAAACCCAAAAATGACAGAAAAAGAGTATACACAGTTGGTTCTTCTTTTCCTTTAGTTGTCTTCCAATTTAATTACCATCACCAACAAATGATGGCCTGATTTGTGCCTGCTGTGGCAGCAGATTCAAGCACTCCCTAAGAGCCCTGTGCAAAAACTTGGACAGGGACCACAACAAGCTTAAAGTTTTAGGAAAGTAACTCAGCAATGCTGGAGCTGCCACCCTTTCCTAGGCTGAATTACATTTACTGTAATTTCAAGGGAACAATTTGGCAGAAGGAACACTGTGCAATGGGGAACTACAGGTGGACACCAAGACTATAATGCAAAATAGTTATTCCCCTAACAGGCCCTTAGCATCAGGTATTATGAACAAGATGCAGATCCAAAATATGGAACTGGATAATACTGACCAAGCTTTATTTCTAAAATATAGTCTTGAGTGTTATTTCCTTTTCAGGAAGTTTGTACGTCCTTACAGTGAGAATATACTTGTCATCTATGAATCTATGAGCTCAATTTTTAACATGTTGCTATGAATAGCTATTAGCAACAAGTTACTGGTACTAAATGTACCTTTGGTGAAAAAACATTCCTTTGAACAGGGCCATGCCTGCCGTGTTTCAGTTCTACCCAGCGTGTCTGTGCTCTTACACTGGGAGAAAAAGAAAAAAGTGTGCCTGAAATGGAGATTTTCTTTTTTTCATTTTACAATTTGTTGCAAAGTGAAGTCATTAGCATCTCTGCAAATGCAGCAGCCTTTTCTTCCCACATCCAGATTCCCAGGTGTAGGCACAGGTAAGTCTGGTTCAAGAATCTGCCCTGTTAGTTTGGTTGTTTGCCCATTCTGTAAGTCAGCAGGCTGACTTCATAGCATGGGAAAGCAAAGTCATGACTTGAGGGGATCTCAGCTACCTATAGTTTTCCCCAAATTCACACTAAGATGAGTGAAATGTAACTAAACTAGGTCAGCACAGGCAAATACTAAAGCACAGATTGTTTTTCTTTAGGTGTCAACTAGACCAACTTAACCATAAAAGACAGCTCCTCTACCTCCTGAAAAAGATCAACATATATATGTGTGTAGTATTACTTAGTTTGATGATATTCCGCAAAAATGAGTTATTATTTAACTTTAGGCTTTTTTTTGATAGAAGTACATTTACCTGAGAAAAGGTCATTAACATCCTGGTACTTCCACATTTCCACACAGAGCTTTGCCTATGACCAAGTATTACTGACTGACTTGAAACCTAAAATTCCACTTAACAAGGGTAATCGGTAAACACCTATTAGTTAGTGTATACACCAGATAACATACACTCACAATACATACTTAAAGCTAAAAGACTGTCCCAGAAACATGATAAGACAAAGTTGTAATAAAAAATCTTGAACACATCTTTAAGAAACAACTGCATCCTATTCATTGATAGAGTTCAACGTCAATGATAAGCTCCATAAAAGGAATTAAAATACTTGCAACCATAAAATACAGATGAAATCCTACTTCCAGTACGAAATATTATGTCTTAAAATAACCTCAACCACACATTCACAAATACAATCATTTATCCACAATTTATATATAAATAGCTAATTTTCTCTTGATCTTTTAACGAAGTGCCCTTACACACTCTGGAGAATTATTTGACATCTCAGTTTTCGTAACAAAAGCTTACAGGCACTGAGGGACTTTGTTTGGGAAGAGCTCTAACCATTCTAAAATGTCTCTTGAGATCTCTCTAGTGTGTTTCCTAGCAGTGGTGATTGAATAAAATGCTGCCCAAAGGAGGCTGAACTGCAAGTGTTCCTTTAAAAACCAATGGAGCTGAAAATTGTTGTTGCTTAGTTCACCACATGCTCTTTTACCCTTCTCCAGCTAAGCTCTACTATAGCCATGTGTTTTATCTACCACCCTCTTTGGCAAGTTCTTCAGCCTGACATATTTCCAGTACAAAAAGCAGGAAAGAGCATGACCATTTATCACTAACAATTCTTTTAAATAAAAGAAGTCATGCACAGAGCCACCAGAAAGGAAGCCACCCACAGGAAGAAATCCTGCATACAGACATCTGGATTTTAGTGGCATCCTTCCAGACACTGGATAAATTATAAGGAATCAAGGAGAACTGGGTTTCTATTCACCAAAGCCTAGACTCCTTGTGGCAAATGCTGCAGGAATGAGTTTTGGAAAATTTACAGGTAGATCTCATGCAGGTTGTAGATGGAGGGAAGTTTGAAGAGTGATAAAACACACAGTTAGCAACTGTTGTTGCTCCTTTTCTGACAATAGTTGAGGATGCAGGACACAATCTATGTTCAAATTATGAGAGCTGTGTCCCAAAGAAAACCTAAAAACATAACCACCATTCTGTTTTTCCTCCTTTATCTCACTGTTTCCAAATACTGTCGTTAGTCCTACTGACTAAAGCAGAAGCTTCAACTGTAGTGATAAAAGTGCCCACTAGATCTACTTCCCTTTGAAATCAGGAACGAGGCAGGTCAAACTGGACCTTCGTCTTGACTCTAAAAGTTAGTGGTAACAATTACTAATCACATCAAAACCATTTAGCCCAGCTGCAGGGAGCCAGAGCAAAAGAAAGCGACAGCTCTCAGAAACTCACGCTTAATAGGAGGTGATGAGGTAGCAGAACCTTTAAAAGACTCACCATCATCCTCCAGAGACCACTGGCCTAGTTTTTAAAAATCTACAAATACTCCTGGTGACCTAGCCACTGTCAGGAGCAGGGAAAGGGTTGACTTGTTAGTCCACAGGGAATGTGACATTCCCTACATGAACACAATGCAGTGGGGCCCTCTCTGACCAAATCACAAACCATTCAATGGAATGTTTGATTAATCAATTAAGCACAATCACTAAATAAGGACCAATACTCACCGGAAAGTTTTGACAAGATTTTTTAGCTCGGTGTAAACATCACCTGGAGCAATCTGAAGAGGGCCCGAAACTATAGTTAATCTAGAAGGCAAAAGACACCAGTCAATACACATTTTCTTCTTTCTCATTTCTTCTCACATAGGACTTCCGTGGAAGCTTATCAAAGTTATTACAAAGAAAAAAAGAGATTGACTTCTATGCAGCAGATCAGGACTGTAGTTTACATTTCAGATTCTTTTGGGCAGTGCTTGGGCCAACACCTTCACTTTACAACAGCTTGTTTATAAAAACAAGAAGCTCAAGTTCAGTGTGAACATGAAGAAGGAATTAAATATAGTTCTACATACTCTAACTTGCCTTTCAGTTTGGACAAGATATTCTTACAAAAAATCAAAGTAATTACATTATGAGGATTAGAACTCCAAGCCTCATCATTTTTTCAAGGGTTTCTACTTTCTTGTTTCAAAAATAACAATACAAAAGGAAACTACATGTCTAAATGAGGTTTGCACACAGAATATACCTGCTAACCTCAGACTCGCATAGATGCAACAGAAATATCACTCCTGTGAGCTTGACAGTTGAAATCAAGATGACAGTAATCAGAAAATGCCAAAAGATGTAAGAAGACTACCTGACTGTGCATAGAAACTGATAAAGCACACAACAAAGTGCACATGCAGTTTAACTAGCTGTCAGCATTCCCAAGTGATGGAAATAACAGGCATTGTTTTCCAGGTTTATAACTAAACTTTTGCCTCTATTTACTTGTTTAATGATAAATATCCTCTTGCATTTGAATATCCAGCTGTTCACATTTATATGCACATAGTGCATGGTGTATGAATATCACTAGAAGAATCAAAATTTCTGTTCTTGACATCACTGCATGTTTTACAAAAACTGAACCCAGGACTCTCATGATGCTGAGCACATTGATTACTTTATCACAATGAAAATTGTCTATAGAGCATGGCAGGATGGCTGCATTCTCTCAGGGAATTTAACACAATCAACACTTACAGCCAAGACACTTATGGGATGGTTTGATTCCATGTTTGTTGCCTATCCACACATGTTGCAGGCAGAGAAAACCAAAGGATTTTATTTTGGATTTTATGGGAGGGAATTTTGGTTGTGGGGTTTTTTAGTTAAAAAATCTAGTACAATCTAGCTTGGTTACCTAGCACAGACTAGTCAAAACACCAGAATCAAACACTGATTTATCTGCATTGTCTTGACAATGCGCATTTTTTCAAGGTCCTCTCAACTTTTACAATTTAATAATTCTAACAGCTTCAATAGACATGCCTTAATCTATTTTCTGGGACTCCAAAGCCCTTTTATGTATGTGAAAAAGGTCTGGTGTTGGGAAAGTTTTAAGATTGAGCTCTAAAGGCCTTTAACGGTTGCAGCTAGGGACATACTGATATCAGCCTTTCAAACAAGGACTAGAAACTCTTTAAGTAAGTCCTTTGCTTAAAGTATTCTGAGGTGTGAAAACACTGTTTCCTTCTCCGTAGATTTGTTTACAGTAACAGTATCCTTAATGTACAAGACAAATATCTGCACTCCTCACAATCAGCTTCAAGTTTTTCAGTTTAAACTTGAGCGGTTGGTACATGCAGGCTGTGCAAACCAACATCTGCAACTGTACCACAGGTACTCAGAAATGTCCTTTAGGGCAACAGTGGGTTTAACCTCTGACTAAGCCCACCCAGAAAAAGCCAGGCCATCCTTGGAGTGTGTTTGCTAACTAAATGATGATGAATGAGAACCAACTTGAGACTGACATTTACCGAAGTAAAGGCGACTTACGCTTTTTGCAGCTTTTCAAGGACGATTCGCTTTCTGATCTGTATTTGTGCATTTGAATCAACAAGTGGGAAGGTGAGATCTTCCTGTTGATCATCCTGTATCAGACAGAAAACTTTAACAGCTATAACCTATAGTTATAGTCAGATTATCGATAAATGTTTAAACATAATGTAACTCTTATCTCTGAACAGGAAAAAATACCCCAAACAGTAATTTTTTAATGGACAGAAGCTGCCCAACCTAACCCAACATACAGTTTGTGGTTAACATACTTTTTCCCCTTTCCTATCTGAGATACTTATCCACTTACTATGTCAGAAACAAAATAATAATTCTTTGAAGGCTTATTCAGGCTTTGTATAGCCTTGACACTATTCCACTGGACACTTACTTTGTCTTTGCTTGGATGTTCTTCCTCTTGTGCCTGTGTTGCTGCCTCTTCAGCCAAGATGCATTCTCCTTTATAGAACTCTTTTACTCGGAGCTCTAGTAACTTCGTTTCTTCTTTTAACTTTTCATAACTAGGCACAGGCTTAACTATTCCACCTGAGCTTGTGAAAGGTAAAGAATAATTCAAGCTGTTTTCAGGCTCCCCTACAGCAACAGCGTTAAGATCGTCGGCTGTATCTAAGTCATCCTCATCAAGTTCTTCACTCTCCTGGTTGGCAGATGATATGCATTCTGATGAGCACAAAGTAGTATAGTCTGGACCATAGAGAAATTTTAAAGTTTCCTCAGTTCTCCATTCTGTAAGCGTTTGCTTAAGCACGTTGAGTAAACTGCCTTTGGAATTAACCGGATGCCTCAGTTCAAGTTTTTTATATTCTGATGAGTTAGCTACTATTTTTCTAAGATGTTCTGCCCCTCTTTTGCTCACACCTAGAAAAACTATCTCTGAACCACAGGTATTTTCAGAGATTTTTGAAGCACTTGATTTCCCCAGAGCAGTATTTTTTGAAGGTGGTGCAGTTATTTCATTATGAACAGAGCAAGCTTGCTTTTCTTCCTGAGCATCTAATTTACAATGAGAGAGTCGTTCAGTGGCTTCTGCCACATCTGAATCTGCAGTTTTAGGGCTGGTACAGACGTTCTGAGCAGGATTCTTTTTGAGGATGCTTTTTCTGTGCAATTGCTGTGCCAAATTGGCTGAACTTGACTGACTTCCTGGTAGGACAGAAGAAACAAATTCTTGTTCAGTATCACTACTGCTGTCACTGGCTGTGTCATGAGAACCAGATTCACGTGGATCTGAAGATATTCTAGGATTTTCAATGTCAGATGCTTTAACTACTTCATCACGTAGTTTCACCTCTTCTCCAGACTGTCCACTGTAACAGAAAACAAGCCACCAATGAAATAAGAAATGGGTGTTACCTGCAATAGCTTTTAATTCTCAAGTAAAAAAGATAAAGCACTTTTCCCCATTTTTCTACTATAGGTAGAAGTGTAATTTTTAGTGGTAAGAATCATAGCTGCTCTTCTAAAAGTCTTCCTGAACTCAAAGAGTTGTACTGTTCTCCAGTCAAGAGGACAAGTATAGAAACTATCTAGAGAAGTGAGTTCCAGCTGATTATTGGCAGTTAGAAAAAGACAGGAAACAAAACAGTATTAAAAAGACACCAGAATATTATCAGCCTTAGCATGATGAATGTTAAAATGAATACAGGCATTTTAACATATACAGGCATATAGTACCCTAAAATCAGGGGGACAGCAGAGTTGTTTCAGCATTTGTAAGTTTGCCACCTAATGGCCACGGATTGCAAAAGAAAACAAACAGAAAGTCACAATAGGCAGTGAGGTACAGAGAGATGACAGAACGGTGTGATTTCATTTTGGCTGATAGAGATGTTTTAGATTAAGAAATACAGAATCTTTCATCACATATAATTGGCACAATTTTCTGTATAAAGAATAGATGGCATAAAATATGCAAAGTACAAACAGTGTATTTGTTTCAGATTTCAACAGGCTCAATTAAGACACACAATCCAAGAGCAGCTGTACACTAAATCATACAGATCAAATATACTGGGTTAGAATCACAAAGGAAAAGGAACCTTTGTGCAGGTTCTAATAAGATCTTTATTATAACACAGGAAATCAAAGATTCCCCTTTCGCCTCAAAGGATGCTAAAATTTCTAACTATAGGTGCATATAAAAAAAAAAACCAAACCCAAAACAACAACAAAACCCCCACAACAAACCAAAATTGCTCCGTGTACCTCTGTCCCTCCTTCAGCAGCTCTATGTCTGGTGGCCTGCAAAAAGAAGACACAGACTGAAGATTTTCTTGCTAAGCCAATTCTCTCAAAATACACATATATGCAGGAATAGTTGAGTTTGGAAGTGATGTCTGAGGATCTCCTAGTCCAACACCCTGTGTTCCAAGCAAGGTTAGTGAGAGCAGGTCTATGCATACACGTTCACAGAGCATGACTTGTATGCCTGCAGCACAGTGCTGTTACAGTGAACAACACTTAGCAGAATCAGCAAGTCAGACTTAGGCAGAAAGGACCTCTGGAAGGCTCTAGTCTGTCCTCCTGCTTGTAATGCAGTGGTGACCAGTGCTAGGTTAGGTCCATCACAAATTCATTAAGTTTAAATCTTGAAAACCTCCAACAGTGGAATTTTCAAAATGCTGCTGAGTATCCTGTTTCATTCCACCAAAACCTTAGTGTAAATTCTTTTCCCAATGTCCAGCCTGAACCATTGGGATTAATTGTGGCCATCACCCCTTGTTAAGATGTCTGCCATCAACCAAGAATAGTTTGGTTCTGTAGTTTTTCTAACTTTCTTCAAGTAGTTGCAGACTGCTTTCAGATCACCCTTTGATCTCAATAAAGTAAACATGTCAAGATCTTCATACATCATAAAGTTCCTATAGCAAAACCACTCCTGGCCCAATGCTAGGAAAACGTTTCAAACTAATGCAAAAATATGAATATTCAGGATATCTTTACTTATTTAAAGTTTGACTTCGTCAAAAATCAGGTTATCAAGTTGTACTGCTTTAAGAAAATGGCATTCAAAGGTTTCCAGAAACTCTAAGAACATTACTAAACAAATTCTGATGAGTTTCTGTCCAAAACTCTACTTGCAGCTAATCTATTTCAATTCAGTTATGAGGCTGCACCACAATGCCATTCCTTTTATCCACCAAATGTTGAAATCCTTGCTATCCTATGATGAAAAAAACCCTTTTAAGCAGGCACTAAATGCAAGTCAATGCACTAACACCTCCCAGTGGATAAAAAGCCCACGGGTTTAAAAAGATGAAAGCTGCACCACTCACACGAATGACTTGAGTTTGGAAACTAAAGGTGATAACATATAATGACTTAAATTATTAACTCCATGTAACTCTTCTTCAGAGTTTTAAGCTGAGGTCGTAGCCTTTTCTGTCAAAGGGATTTCAGATATTCTAAGGTGTAAACATGTATCGGTGTGTGCAGATGTATGTGGTTGTGCAAAGAGATATACCTAGACATGAACTATCTGGGATTTTGTTTGATTTTTGAAAATACCTCCTCCCTACCACCACATATCCTAACTAATTACCTATGTCAGGCAGACCAGAACAATGTGCTTTTGATGCTAAGACTAAAGGGAGATTTTAGAAATATTTTCGTTAAAGACAGCGAAGCAATAGCACAAAAATACTGACAAACGTAAACATTTAATGAAGAGTCCAGTTTTGCCTACTAGAATAACTCAGATCAGGCTGCTCTAAATCTCTTCTCTCCTTGATCAGGTATTTCATATGACTGTGAAAATGAGCTCACACATAATTTCAGCTAGTTTCTTTTGCTGAAAACCAGGAGACTATGAAAAGTAGTACCTTGGAGAACAAAAGCAGCATAAATTCAGCTGAACGCTCTCCATGCAAGTCTTTATTGTTCAACAGTGACACCCATTGGCTCCACCCGTATTTGCAAGCCTCTGTTTCCTAAGCTAGGAACACGGACTGCATTACACTTCCAAAATGTGCACTGCAGGAACAACAGGAAATGGGCAATCTCAAGTTTAGACAGGATACAGAACCTCTTCACCTTATAGTCCTCTTTCAGCTGCAAGCATTCACAGCCTCAGCTTAAGACCAATGCCAAGTGCTGTGCTAAAATTAGAAAATCTCTTGTAACAGGGTAAGATTAAATCATTCTGTACGTTGTATGATTTGTAAAAATACAATCCTAGTAAGTACATTTAAAAATTAATAGGAGTTAACTATTATTTATGACTAGACTGCCCTCTAACCTAACATGGTCTAGTCTACTAAGTAGTTGTGAGTAGTACTGAGAGATGTCAATTACTGCAATCCATATGGCAACAACACTAACACCATGCTGAGCTAACACACTAACATCAGCTACCTCTGCTTCAGCCCAATCATTCTGAAGCACTGCAGCTAATTCATTAGTGTTGCAGCTTGCATACAGAAATCATATTCTCAACAGCAACAATGAATATACAAGACTATACTTACTTTTCTTCTTCTCGCATCCATATTGGACTTCTGGAAATTTGAGCTTCGAAATATTTAGATGCTCTGTAGCAAAAGTTACTACAAAAGCACTGGAAACAAGAGAGAATGCAAGAAAATATGATTAAATTCAACTTTAATACTCATAGAAAGGTACAAAAGTAATTGGCTTTTATGCCTGTAAAATTAAGTACCAATTCACATTTCAAGTCATATCCAGGGTTAAACTGGGGTTTTAATTCACCTGAGAAACCAAACCTATCAAACAGTCTATCCCATTTTCCCCAAGCCACTTTTAGCCTTTTCTTTTTCCTCCATTTTCCTGCTTTTTGCACTTTTATTACATACTGCGAAGCAAGTCAGTGTTGGATCCTACATTAACATTATAAAAAAAAGCCACAAACTGTTCAAAGAGCAACCCTAACCCAGCTAGAGAGTCATACAGTTTAAAGGACATCCAATAAAATTCAAATGCTTAATAATTAACCTTTTGCTTAACTACAAAACTTGGTATTTTGTGATACTTGGAACAACACCTAAAATTTTGCAGCATCTTTGAAAAACTTACTTGCACACTTACATCATAAGGGAAGAAGACAAAGCATCACACTTCTTGTCAGAGTCTTACACTTGAAAAATTCCTAGAATTTTGTGTGTCCCAGAGTTGTAATCAGAAGAAAGGAATGTATACTAGTGACAGGGAAGAAATTTATTCTGTAACTAGACACATTTATCTTGCAATTTAGCGTCTAAGCATCTGTAGGTGATTGTGCATCCTGTGAACTGTCAAAGATGACTTTTAGACAACAACATGTGTGAACATACTTCAAGAAAGAAACAGTTTGTGAAGAGAGAGCTTGAATGTTGCAAAGTCCTCAAAACAGAACCCAAAACCTTCAAGGTTCCCCAAAAGAGAACACTAAGGAATGCGTAAGATGTAACTTGTACTACACTGCTGCAAATTACTACTGTGAATGAAAAGGATGTGCACCTTGACCTTACTAAAGCTCATTGACTGTACTGGAGCAAAATAAAGGACACTTCTTCACAAATGACTTTAACAGATCAGCTGGGCCACATTTAAACTCCTATCCAAGTAAAACTTTATGTGTTATGTTTAAATTTAGAAAACACTTCTTTTTTTGTCCTAACAAAGACATCTAGAAACTGAAATGCATAAAAACCTTCATATTCTAACAGATTGTGAAAATGATTTTTGTAAGAACCCAACATACTGGCTCTGAATCAAGCCACTCTATGAATGCTGTTACAAAAGGCATTTCTGCTGTTGTGACTATTAAACACATTCTAGAAATAGACTTGTTACCATACCTTTCTTTCAGTGATATCATAAACTCTGTTCGTTTTGGTTGAGATTTTGTACTTCTGCTTTGGCACCTAAAACAACAGGCTTTCATCAGCAAGACTGTTAGCTCCAACATCAAATACAGTTTCCAAGTGAACTTCTGTGGGAATATATGAAGTCCAAAACAGTAAAGCTTTTTGTACTTGAGTAGGTAATCCCATGTACCACTGGTAATACACTACAGGTTATCTAAGTGAGTTCTGCTCAGTTCTGCTTTGACATTCACATAGAATTCACATAGAACTTTGACATTCTAAAGGGGTGTAACTGATTTTGACACAGCTGACACACATTTTTACAGCAGATATATATGCATTCATATAATAATATCTCTGCACTGTTTAATTTTTTTCACTTCAATCCTTCTCACAGAGATCTGTGGCTACACTGATGAAAGAACAAGATTAGAAAGTTATTTCATGCACAAAGGAAGGCCACAAAGCTGTAATTCATTCATCTTTATCATTGTCAAATTAGATGCTAACTGATTCTATCATGCAGTAACAGTTGTCCACTGATCAAATTTTACCTTTCACTTCAGAAGGATTACACTGAAATGGAGTGATATAATGCCTGGCCCATTACTTGACAGTATTTTAATCTATATTTAATTTTCTAAGTTTAAAATTATGAAGAAAATTAATGAAAAGCAACTTACATTTTCCAGTTTATGGTGACACAGAGGATAACCACATAGTTTGATGATAGACCGTTCATCAACAATGTCTTTATAGTGAGATGGAGTAATAAATTTTCCCTAAAATGACAAGAAAATAGTCCAACAACAAATACTGGAATAGCTGTCATTTTTTTGCACTCAAGACATCTCATAAGCAAATACTAAATCTTACAACAGTTATCTAGTAAGTTTAATAAACAATGTTTAGAACCTACACAGTAAAAATGGCAAAAGGGTAAACAGGAGAAAGGAGACAGACATGGGCACTTCTTTTTACATATACAGGAGCTTCAGAATTTTGCCTCTAGTGTGGCACATATATTCGTAATTTTCCTCTATTTTTACATGTTTTGTACATCTATTTACCAGTCTATTTACAGCTTTAACAGGAGTAATCATCATACCATTTCAGCAAAACTGTGCTGCCAGATAAACTGAGGTGCATTATAGAGACTTTGTCTAAATTCACAGATGTTGTGACGTAAACCTAAATTTTTATACTTCAATCTACCAGTCCAGAACCACTGAAGTATAAACAAAAGCTGTGATAATGCAGCAAGGACCCATAAATGCATACAGTCTTGCAAAACTGGGGCATGTTTTCATTGCAGAACCCTTGCACATAAAGCAATCATCATCAGAACTGGTTAGAGACGGAATCAATGATTTGTCTGTTTTAAACTGCAGCAAATTGTTCCAAGAACTTTTTTAAAAAAAGTAGCACACTAAGATACAAAAGACTATAAAGACTTGCAACACCCACAGAATTTAGAAGGAACTCTTCAGTAATGTCCTCTTCCAGGAGCTGTTCAACAACAGACAATGCTTTTTTCTCACACTCAATCTTCTTTCTCATAGCAACCTGCAGAGCTGCTTTTCTGTAACAGAACAGACAGAGTTCACACAGAGTGCAAATTTCCATAAACAATTCTCCAATCCTATCTATATCTTTCATTTCTGAAATATAATTGCTTATATTTTCTGCATCACACCATGTTGGCCACACAAAGCAACAAGTAATTGCACTAATAATTATGTTATAAACACAAAGGAGTTTCCAACCGTGGTTTGCTTTATTTCCACCCCAGTCAGGACAAGTACTGACCCTCATTGCATTGCAATACACCCCTCAAGCTGACCCAACTCTCCTTGCAGGAGAAAACCCAGAACTGGCTGGACAAAGAGCCTGGGACAAACAACTTATGAAGCGTTGTCAGGAGAACAGGAGCTGGACTAGACATGAAGAGTGGGAAGAAAAAAGGACTGGGACATGACTGAGCAGGATGTTGCAAAGTAAAGGAAGGAATAAACCAAACAAATGCCACTACAGTAGATTTCTCAAGTGGTTTTTCATGTAAATAAGTATAAATGGCAGACATGCAAAGAAGTTAAGCTTGTGGCAAAAAGCAAGCACTACAGACTAAGGAAACATAACAGTAGAAGTTAGATTCATAAACCTTCATAAAGGTATATTACATGATGCACATAGGTGCATGCTGTTACAAGTTATACAGCATCCCTCCAAACAAGCCTGCATGATGCTGATGCTGTTAATCTCCTGAAGTTAGTCACAATACTCTGAGAAAGCAATAAAATATGTGAGGCAGAGAATGCACTTTCTAAGTGAGACAAAACAATGCAAACGCCACATACTGTTGGGCAGAAATTATACCTTTGAGCAGCAGCATCCTCATTCTTCTGGGCAGCTGAATGCTTGTTTCCTAGAAATCAAAGGATGAATGTAGAAATATAGAAACTACTGTGCTTTCTTCCCTCAACAGTGGAAAATACTGGAACCTGAAAAATACTAAAACCTCTAAACTGCAAGCATAATCACGAGAATTGATTAGAAACTTGCTTTTGATGGCTGTGACTTCAGTGAGCCGGTAACCATTCAGCAGCTAGTTAGACATGCTTTTGTATGTGCGAGGGCAGACAGACCCAAGTCTTCCAACACTCTCATGCATCACGTTCTGTACACTCAGACAGCTAAGGGAAATACAACTCTGACCACAGTGTAGTGCCAACCACGGCCCGGCTCCCCAGCCCAGCTCCACCCGTGCACACACTGCCGGGCTCTGCCGGGGGCTGCCCCGAACAGCTCCAGCGCGGGCACCCTCACCCTCACCCTCACCCTC